CATAAAGAAATGAAAGCCAAAGGGAAAAAGTGATGAATTAAGAGAGTTGATCACAAGATTTCAAAGGAAGCCTGAAGAAGGCAAAGCAAATTATTATTATGAAATGTGGATAGACCTGGAGCTAGCAAATTAAAAGGGAAAACCATGGTTGGAATTTCTCAAGGCAAAATAAAGAAAAAGAATTCAAAGGCTCAAGATGCTACAGTGAAAGATTCTACAAGGCAAAATATTTGACTGATGCAGGGAGCATCAAAAGAAGATGGAGGGCATGTACAGATCCACTTCACCCAAAGGAAATGATATCATATGATCAGGAAACAGTGGTATTGAAGGAAGAAGTCCAAGCTGTGTTGAAGACACTGTGAAAAATGCAAAGCTCTAGGAATTGATGGAATACCAATTGTAATGTTTTAAATAAACATGCAGTTATACCTTTGAATATGCTCACTGGTCTGTGCTGAGAAATATGTTATACAGTTACCTGGCCAGCCTACTGCAAGAGATACATACGTGTACTCATTCCACAGAAAGGATATCTTGGAAGTGTTAGAAAATAGGTTACTGTGAGGACTAATGTGCATGTAATCCAAGCTATTGTATTGCCAGTTGCCTCATAGGCATGGAAAATTGGACAATTGGCTCAAATATAGTAATAGTTAGAGGATGGTGCAAGACTAGGCAGGCTTGTTTTCTGTTAGTAGATAGGATCACGTTGAGTCAGAACCAGCTTGATAGGACCTAACAACTTAGGTTATAACAATATGATAACTTAGTTTTAATGATAACTTAGTTTTAATTAAAATAGATTATACAGAAAATAGATTATACAGAAAAATAAGTGCCTCAACAATGTGAATATAAAAATAGGCTCCCATTAATGGATGCATTGTAAAATGTTAGTTAATAGAAGTGGTGCATACATTTATGTGGAAGAAAGATATCCTGATGAAATTGGAATTTATTCATACTGAAAGCATTTTCTGCTATAATAGAATTGAAAGTAGCACTAAAATAGGATTAAATTAGAGATCTTTTTTTT